ATATATATATAAAATTAAGAATGGTTCTAATTTTCTTCATTTTCATTCAGATCTCTGCATGGAGGTAATAGTGAAGGTCAAAGTCAGGGAGAGAACGATGTTGTAAATGCCTATGGTCAACCTGGATTGGATTACACTCTGGATCGACATCCGGCTCGAAACCCCATGTATCCAACCGCGACCAGCCATCACATGATGCAACATCCACCGGGTATGCCTGGCACGGTACCTCCAGCTCCACCAGCACCTCAACAGGCTAGACCTCCTAGCACTCAAAATGTGTATCCGAGTTACGAGACAACGCAATCACCAATAGCTTATGGCTCTCCTGGCCAGCAAAATACCAATTCGTCGGTAATGAACCGAATTCAAAAACCAACTACGAATACGTCACCCACACCTGTGGTTCAACAGTCAACCGGCAATTGGTCGAATATTGGACGCCAACAACCCGTGTCATGCGAAGGTTACCAATACACTCAATCAAGTCCGTCTAGATCTCCAAGTGGACCTACGTACACGCAGTTGAATAGTGGAGCTAGAACGCCAGTGTCCCAGCAATACCACGCAGTCACAACAGTGCCTAACAACAATACAGGTATAATATAATGCGCTCGATTAAACGAATTTGTATAAATGGGTTATTATAAAAACTTTTGCACTTTATTAAGGAATGTGGAGCTGGCAGGGACAACAGCAACACCAAGGCCCTCCTCAAGACGCCAATGGACAGCCTACTGCTCAAGTTGGTGGTCAGCCTCAAGCTACTCATCCTCAAGCAACTGGAGCACCTGCCCCACAGACTCAGGAGCTAAGTGACATGCTACAGATGCTTCAAGATCAAGAACTCAGTATGTTTAATACCACCTTTGAATGAGCGCGTGGACTAATTTGAGGATAATTATTAAATAAACTTTTTATTGTGTTCAAGTTATTCAAGTGATAAAGGAAAAGGATAACTTGAAAATGTTTTAAACACAACGGGCACTATTATTGTGTTGTAAAAGAGGCAAGCTCAAAAATCTCTTTGTTTCGTCTCTCTTCTTAATTAATTGTAAGAAAGAATAAAATGATTTTATATATATATATAGCAGCGATACNAGGATATATATATAAAGCACCATGGCACTAACAAAACCAAAATAAAATTATAAATGGCCATTGCTTGATACGTGTACCAAGAGAAAAAGCGAGTGAAATGTGTAAAGCATTTTTTTTAGTTTTTCGATATAAATTAGATGTAAAGTAACAATAATTTTATGAATAATTTAGCTAAACTCTATTATTTAAGTAATTGTAATTATAAACAGTGCAATTGTTATCATCTCTCTGACGAGATTTTTTTTTATAAAAATTGTATAAAAATGTCTACTTTGTGAGCACCAAATTGTAATTGTACCGTGTGAATCCGAATTTTACTAGTGAAGTTTAATTCAAGTCCGAAGTAGACAGTATAATTTTAATTAATTACACGCAAAAAATTTTTAATTTATAACCAGATAGTCTCGATCATCTGCTAAACTGGTCCATTTAATTTTACTACTGTGTCCATAGCCGATTGAACGTATTAGGAATATAATAAAAATTGTATTAGTTTGCTATGTCGATATTAATGCGTTGTTATTAATATAATGGTATAACTGTATTGAAAAAAATTTTTTTTAAAAAAGGTTAGTGTTTTAAAAATTTTGTACAATATGAAGAATTGTGAATGTTGATCAAGTATTATTTTGAAGAAAACTGGAGCATTTTATACATTCACTTGAGACAGTTTTCTTTATGCCAGTATGTGTACATTATTTGAAAATAAAATACAATTTCCATTTTAAACAAATCGCATTTATTTTACTCACTAAATCGTATGAAGTACAACTATACAGTAAAAAAACAATATTACATAACATTTTTTTTTTTTTTTTTTTCAACTGTAAAAGATTTGGAACTAACGAACAGTAGCTTTTTTCTTGTGTTTCATACCCGTACTTTCTTTTGTACCCGTAGTAACTTCGTTTTGTAATTTAGTAAAGAATGCCGTTGAGGATTTAATGGCTTGCTGGTCTGAAGTACCTGTGTTTAAAATATTGCGACCCGTTATCTTGGGTTCATCAACTTTCGACTTCTTTTTGTTCTTTTTCTGATCGTTTTCTCCTTTCTTACTTTGATACACAGCACGATTGTGTTGCTTAAGCTTCTTTTTGCGCCTTTCTCGCTTTTTATCTGTTTTACTCCTTTCTGATTTACCCAACAAATCACCTTTCGGTTTACCTTGATGAAAAAAAAAAAAAAAAAAATTGATAAGAAATAATGTCAAAATTTAGCAGAGGGTAAAAATTTAGATATTTACCTTTAATTTCTTCGGGTGCAAGTAATGTAGCATCACTTGTTCCTATAGGAGCCACTTCCTCCATATTTATTGCAGGTATATTGCTAACAATTTTAATTTCTGGCTTAGCCTGAAAGAAAAGAAAAAAATGTCACAAAAAATAGTTAATTGTTTAAAGAAGTGTACAGTATAATTATTTACGAGTTTAGGAGTGTAATGAAAGTTGGACAAAGCATCGAGTTTTCTGAAAAGAGAATGCATTTTTTCTCTAATTTCAATATGCTCTGGTGGTTCTTCTTTGTTTTCCTCATCTTTTTCCTCTCCAGTCAAAGCTTCTCTCTGCTTGATGTACTCATTTTCATAAATTTGTGCTAAACTTTCTTTACTCTTCTCTTGATTCATGACTAATTTTTTTTTGTACTCCAATGGTGTTTCAACAGGCTTGACTTTCTTTTCAACATCATCCCAAGCTTTATCCTTTATCCTCGACCTGATTATGTCTTCTAATTTCATAGTTGTCTTTTCTGTCATAATAGGCGCTGGTCTTAACCCTGTGTCAAATTCTACAAATTCTTCTAAAAGAGAATTTTTCGGTCTAGTGTTGGCAGTGGTCTCTCCTTTTAATTGCCATGGTTTTTCAGCTATTGCTTCCTTTTCTAGTTGTTCAATTTTCTTTGTCAACCTTTCTTTTCTAGATTCAAAGGAAGATTTATTTTCAATTTTACTTTCTTGACTATCAACTTCTTTTTCTGAATCAGAATCATCTGAATTACTTAAGAGATTGAACTTCACTTTTTTCTGCGTTTCCTGGGTCTGTTCTTTCTCATCATCTACATTATCACTGTCATCTTTATTATCAAATTCATGCTCACTATCATTGTCATTTTCATCATAATTATCATTGTCTTCTTCTTCATCATCATCATCTTGTTTATCGTGATCACTGGCCTCCATTTCCCCATTTTCACTTTCAGGACTATCAAAAAAGTCATTGTACTTGACTGATTTCCCAGTTTTAATTTCGTCATCGCTTCCACCTTTGTCATCTTCTTCTGGTATGTCATTAAACAAATCAATAGACATATCATCGTCATCATCATCCTCATCAGAATTGACTGGCTTTTTTGACTTTTTCCCACTTGTTTCCATTTTTTCCATTTTTGTCAGGTAGTCCGTCATTTGTGACAAACTAAAAAATTTGTCGTCTACTTCTGTTTTTCTTTTTTTCTTTGAGCTATGAGATGTTTGTTTCGCTTTTCTCTTGCTATTGTCACTAACAATATCGTCCTCTGACTCTTCAGACTGATGTCCCCGTGTTTCTAAATTCTTTTTTCCTTCATCCTTGCCTTCTTCCTTTTCCTTCTCACCATTGGAATTTTCAGACTGTTGAGCTCTATCATCAGATAAAAAATTCCATTTTGAACTCGCTAGTAATTTGGATATGTTTTCCAAACTTTCTTTGCCAAGCACCTCGCTGTTTTCGAGCTCAATTTGTTGCCATATCTGCTCAGTGTCTAAACCATCGATAATTAGCTCTGGCAGTGCTTGTGACTTTTTACAAGTAAAAGATCGTGCCTTGTAAGCTTTGTCATACAATTTTTTTGTCCGTTGCAGAATGTCATCAGGAATATATTCCTTAAGGCACTCGCGTAAATCCATGGTTTTGTGTACAATAAACTCTTTTTGTCTAAAACGATGGAAAACATAAATATTTAATTAATTATACATTGTATAACTAAAAAACTATGAAATAAACCAAACAAGTTGAATTTTGTCCACTTACAATTTCACAAAAAATAAAAATAATACTTGGTGTATCTATGAATTATTTACAGCATTGTTTTTATTATAACGTAACCTCTTGACACAACTCACAACCATGTGCCGATTGCCGTTCAGTCGCCAACTCGCCAGAGAGAGAGAAAAACACTACTGTCCACAGTCCTTTTTCCTTTTCTGATTTTCTTCCAGTGTTTTTGTAGGCACTATTGGAACCCTCGGACTAGCTTATTGTTGAGCGGAAAGTATGAAATTTACCAATAAAAGAGGTTATGTAATGGAATCAGCCAATGGGAATTGAATATTTGAATTTCCCGCTCAACGAATTATGAATTAAACTGTATGCGTCGGTGTTACGTTGTGTGAACGCCGTATGGTCGGGCGGCGCTAGCGTCAACCTGTACTAACGAGACTCGTCAACGAGAGAAGGTAAACAAAAATATGGATTGTGTACGTCTGTACGTGTAGACTGTTGACTTAGGTTATAGTAATTTAAAATAATTAAGAGCTTGTAATCGAGGTAAGTAGTTTGGTTTGTGTAAATAATAGTAATGGGAAGAAGTCGTTCACCTTCGCCTAGTCGAAGACGCGATAGATCGCGTGACAGATCCCGAGAACGAGATCGGGAGCGTCGAAGAAGGAGATCCAGAGAACGTCGGGATCGGAGGTGAAATAATTTTTTAAAATATAACTAAGATCAAGAAAAGCTGCATATGTATATTGATTATTTTATTGTTAAGGTCTCCTGAGAGAGATAGAGCAAGATCAAGGGATAGAGATTTAGATAGACATAGGGATCGCGATAGGCATGGCAGATACAGTAGGTCCAGGTCTAGAGAAAAACCTGTCAGGTCTAAGGTCAAGCGTAATGAGCGTCCCATCATCACAGGTCTGTGTTTTAATTTTATAAATATTTATTTGACACTTTGAGAGCTCATTCATTTATGTGTGGTTTGTTACGAACAGAGGCTGATCTGCAAGGAAAGACAGTAGAAGAGCAGCAAATGATGAGGACGATGGGTTTTTGCGGTTTTGACACCACCAAGGGCAAAAAAGTTGATGGCAACGACGTTGGTGCTGTTCATGTGATTTTGAAGCGAAAGTACAGACAGTATATGAACAGAAAAGGTGGTTTTAACAGACCTCTGGACTTTGTTGCATAACATTGCAACACACTGTATTTTATTTTTATTATTTGTAATGTTTTTGTGAATGAACTAAATTGAGCTAACTATTTTTAGTATTAGGTCATTCCTATTTTTCACTCTATATACAAACAAAGTAAAATTAATCTGAATAATAGCAACCATTTTAATCTTCTTTTATAAATAAATTATAATAGACAATTAGAAAATCTTATTCAAAATTTATTAAAATACATGTCCCACAAGTAATTATGATTCAAAAATGTAATATTTATATTACTACACCAGATTGTATTTTACAAAATAGTTTTGCTCCTGAATATTAACTTGCAGTTTGATAGCACTAGAAAACAAAACTTAGAAAATTGTAACTCGTTAAAACTTGTCTTCAATATATAAATATCAAATGGTGAGATGTAAAATAAATTATTGTGTATATTTTTAATCTTAGTGTTGGTTATACTTTTCTTTTTCATCTCTTCACATTAGCACCAGCTAATAGGCGACCAAATTACAAAGTGTGGTTATTAAAGCACTTACAGATAGTTATTACATTAATATTGGTGTCAGTCAAGACAAGAACTTGAACGCGGGCCAACATTGGAGTACAAGTCCATCGTTGTTTAATTGATCTATCTCTTACAGCAGCTTACTTGTGCAGTATTTGAGAGAAACAAATAATCTTAATAAAATGTATGCTTATTTTTGCATGTGTTATATTAAACGTTATAATGTATCATATAGTCATAAATCGAATGCATTAAATATACAAAAGTTACAAGTGCTCCCAGATTGTAAAATATATTTTTAACGTATATAAACCGAAATATATACCATTTCTTCGTTTTATAATTACACAAATTATTAAACTAATAAAACTTTTTTGTGATTGTTCTTAAACTTTAGTAAAAAAAATTGTAGTATAATATTG